GCACCAGACAAAACAACTTTTTACTTCGGGGGAATTCGAAAAGTGCCATAAAACGGATATTCCTGGGGTAAATGACAATTTTCTCATACTTTCTAATGGTAGATGAATCCATTCCAACATTCAAAGTTATTTAATTTTTGTTTCTAAGTTTTTTTTTTTTCGTAATAATTTCTTGAGAGATTATAATGGAGGATAGCCATTCATGAAGGTCCACATGGTCTGTTGCCAAGCACAGATATGATATAAGAATAATTGGGAAAACCACCGTTTTGGTGTTAGATGGAATTTATTATATTTACTGTATTGATTACAAAGTATGTGAGATTTTGAATTTCATATGAATATCTATTATCCCTTAAAAAGTGTGTAAAATTAATTTAAATCGGTTTTAAATTACATATTTTAAGTAAGTATGCGTAACTTCCCACAATTATTTTCTCAGTTTTCTTTTAATCCACAGCGTCGTCTTGACATTGCAATACAAACATCTTATTAAACAGAGAATTACGAATTTTCCAAGACCTTTTCAGTTTTACAAACTTTTGGAAAACACTACAACTTGCCAAATTTGACCTGAGTTTCATTCGGGACCCGTCGGTTAAAACCGTACTTTGCCGAAATCAGCCGAGTTCTACCAGGCTGACAAGGCCTGTGCATTCCAATGGCCACACTGTCCCAAAGCCGTACTCGCCGTGATCGCCGACATCCCCGACTCGGAGCTCTGACACTGGAAGTTTCGTCTTGTCCGTGATGTAGCCCTCGTCTGTCCGCCACACACCGTCGTTCATGTTGCAGTTACAAAGACTTCTTGGTATATCTTCAATAAATAAATAAATTAATTAATAAACAAGATGAAATAATAATTAAAATAAAGAAAATCTAAATTTTGTGAACCAATTTCAAACGTCAAGCTCGTTAATCACCGGTCAACTGATCCAGAAAAGCATCGTGATTACGTACGTCCAACGACTGCCTATTTCTACCGTTACATGGTTATAATAGTCTAGAGCAACAAATGTTGAGGTGCATGGAGATACGCGTCTGTGCAAGATATGAATTGATTGTCTCATAAATACCTCCCATTTATTAAATACGCGAGCGTAATTTTGGGCAGTTTTTCATGCTGGGGAAAATCGTTAATTTCCAGCACTCACGAACAGTAAGAAAAAATCGTCAATTTTGTATTCACACATTTAGTCCTACCCATAACTTCAATATTGGTGCGTTCTAAATTTTTTCTTTTTAAAATTCCCATGCTTTTTGGGCGCTGATATTTGCGATAAATTCCAATCAAACGCAGCTGAAGTTTAGAGGAAACAATGGGCTTGCATGGGAATTTGGAAAAAAAAAACACTGACATGACCCCATTTGCTCCAAAACCTGAGGATAATTAATTTTTAATAATTAATTAATTAATTTTTAATTGATAATTATTAAAATATGCCTTACTTGAATTCGAGGCACAGGTCTGGGTGACGCCACACGCACACCCTCGCCCGTCTGAGGGGCCTCCTGCCCAATACATCATCTTCTCACCGTCACGAGACACCCACCACGTTTTCAGCGAGCTTGCCTCCATGTCGGACATAAAAGATGCTTTGAAGCATGTATACTTCAACTTTTGTTGGCATCTCGTCGACATGCTAATGAGGCTAACGATCTGATCCATGTTAGCATCTGAAATAAAATGACTTAGATTCTTCAACAGAAAATACATTAAAATCCATTTCGTAAAAATACTTTGGATTGTTAATCATGATTGTAAAAATTTGACGCACTAAAATAATTTAGAAAAAAATTATTGTATCGCAGACGGAGTGTCAGCTGGAACTGCCCTATAATCAGCATACACACGTGATACTGGGAACGACACTCGGCAGAGTTTCCTTTGCTCTCTGATAGGGGGTAATTAACTCAGGGTGCTACGATGTCATCTATATTCAACTTGCGTCAAAGAACGTATGGAACGTAAAAACTCACATAAATAGCTGATCGATTTTCTTATTCCCCCCGCTGCATTGTTGCCATGGAAGAAAGAGTCATAGGGGGTAGCGGTTAATTTCGTCCACACTGTCCCAGTGGTATTATCGCAATGGACAAAGAAAGGAGCGACCGGACCCTCCTCGCCGTCAGGGTCAATCAGTGTCGTCTCAGCCTTCCCTGACTGCCTTCTGCCGCTTCGCTCCAACGCATCCGAACAGGATCTCGGCACACCGCCTGAAACGGAAAACGGGACAAGACATGAGGAGACAAGAATTGTTTTTAGACTGAATGCTTTTAAGAGACTTTCTAATCTGCTTCAACGGAAAAAGTGCCCAAAATCATCGAGGTCTCAAAAAACGCAGCCCTCCGCCACAGCAAATTGTAAATGACAATATTTTTGTGTAATATTCATCGGATTAATTCCATGAAATTATATATATATAAATATATCCTTGTTCATAATTACTTCCATTGATTTCAGACATTTTTTAGGTTCATATTCGAGTTTTACTTAAATGTGCAAAATATATTGTATCATGTGCACTGGAGACTTTTAAAAACTAAATACATTTTAGTGTGCATTTAAAACACTCTTAGTTTTTTTCATGTCATCGGAATACCAAGAAATTTATTTCATCTTAACAGTTTAATGAACAATTTTATTAGTCTCATTTCATTAAGAAAATTTAACAAATTATATTGTTGTACAATCCAACTATTTTGGTTGCATATCAACATATCATATTAGAAATGAAAAGCAAAAACTGAAGCATACTAACTTATGACAGGTGCTAGAAAATCCCAGTTGTCGTTTGGTTCCAAAAACGGCTCGTAATTTTGTCCTATCGTTGTTGAAAGAAATCTGCACAGATTTTCAGACTTCTTGTAATTCACAGCTTGGCATTTGTCCAGTGATGCTTGCAGGCAGACAAAAATGCATTCCTCTAAGGACGATGTATGTTCAGTTTTCGCGGTGAGATGACCTGGTGCTTTTGAACTTTTTATCATGGAAAATTTGGTCGACCTGAAGCGGAATGAATCATAGTCCGTCTTAAAACCAGAAACAAAGTCCGCTTTTATCCACATGATCAATATTAAACACAGAGACTCCATACAAATAACATGGATAGAGTCCATTTTTTTCTGAATGTCAAATGATCTAAATACTAAAATGTCACTTTTGGCAGGTAGCGTATATCCAAGCACTCAATCTGAGTAAAAACGGAGAAATGTCTCTAGTCATAGGAACAAGAATGCCTGCGTTCCCACGTAAATCTGTGTGTTATTTATTATGTAAAATTAATGCACGCTCACGGTGATGCAATTATAATGGTGTTAGAAACGGGAATCGGTGGTCCAGAAACTCGTGAACACTTGCAGTCCGTAACAAAGAGATGAGACCATTCATGTGAGAAGAATAACTATTAGCAAATGAGGGGGTAATCCGCAAGTGACTAAGGGCTTATTCTCAGTGAAACTATGGCTGTATTCCCAGAGCTTTTAGATCGATCTATCCCCGCGGGGAGTCTCACTAGATAACTGTCAGATAATCCGGCTTAAATGTCCGTCCCGCCTACTACAAGCTGTAAGAGGGTAATTAACTTTCGTGCCCGCTCGGCTGACAGCTTTTTAGCGTGAACCCCCAGGGAGTTAGGTCGATCTAAAGTAGATCGATCTAATCTCTGGAAATGGGGTCTAGCTGTGTACACAGATCGATCCAACTCCGAGGGAACTCTGGCTAAATGCAATCAAATTAACAGATTAACACGCCTACTCTTGCGTTGAGTAGAATACAGAAAAGCTGGTGAGTGTATGAGACCGTTGGAAACGAGGAAGTGAGTCATTTAGATAATCTGATTGCATTCAGCGAGAATCCCTGAGGAGTTAGATCGATCTACGCAGAACGATAGTTTCATTGGGAATGAGCCCTTAGTGGGATTTACTCATGTGGATGAGTTGCTGTCCTTTGAAAGGCATTGTTCAGTGATCCATATTCCTTTTCAGTGGATCTACATTTGCCGTAAAAACTGTTTATCTAATACACGGTGTCGTGACATAACTGTGATTTGATGGGGAAAGGGCTTGGTAAAGATCATAACTATCGCATAGCCTACACTATGGGAACCTACACAGCCGCTGATGAATAACTTCACTTGATACACTTGACTTGATTTTTGTTTCTCGGCTTTGGCAGTAAGGCACTGCATCAGGTCTATCTGTTTAGTTTAATTTGACATGCTCCATTCTGTTGCTAAATCTCTCTCTCTCTCTCTTTGTTTTTTGAGAAGAAACTTTGGCAGCAGTGTGACCGTAAACGCTGATTCTCAAAATATAGCTCTATTTGAAGAAAACAGAAAAGTGAAAAATGAGCTTAAAGATATTTTAGCAAACTCTGCCTTTTCTAAAACTCTGGTCACAACAAGCAATAAATCTAGTTTCTTGTACAATCATGAAAACTTTTTTGGTTCATAACGAGGTTTGATTCATAACGAGGTTTGAGTAATGAAAGTTTTAAAAGCAACAACCCTTTTAGATAATATTTGAACTTTATACTGGGCTAAAGGGGTATTAGAAGGTGCGCGTGTATTTTACTGATACATTTCCCCCAATTTTAAGTATATTTTTTACAATGCGTGGTAACGAATTTTTAGCAAATTTATTTTTAAAAGAATGCAGTTTTATTTTCCGTGTCGTGTAAAACATTTAACTGTTCCCTGTCACCATATCGTCTAGCTAATCATGGATGGAACTGAAGTGAAGATTTTATAAATGGCTAAAATATGGCTGAAATATTACAAACACCAAACAACTAAAGATAATGGTGTTTGGCAAAAGACGTCACTCTGGTTTATTAAAAGGGTGGCAACACCTCGATTTTAGCCGCAAACTATTTATTGACTTATTTAACATAAACATCCTAGACATATTCTGACACGTAAGACATCATACTCGATTCCTGACAAGTTACAAAATTTCTGCTTCAGTAAAATTAAAGGGATAATAACTCTTCGTAGGAGATCTATATTTCACAATCAGAACATTGTGAATAACTCATAGAAATATAATATATTCTGTTTTACCACAAAAACGGCAGTTATAGCTATTAATCTGATATCTAAGCTTGTCTTCAGATCACGTGACCTCCATTGATGGCTATACTCTGTTATAGTCTCTTAAAGGACAATGTTCATGTAAAAATCCATTTCTCGAATTTTGAAGATACAGCACTCAATCTATACACTAGAGGTATGTTTTAATCGATCCCCGCCATTTAAAAATTATAAAAACAATCTATTAGTAGAAAAAAAAGCGTTTTAGTAAACCTCACCTCAATATGCAAAAATGAAGCAACAGATCTGGGTCACGTGGTACTGTGACGACAATCACGATAAAGGTCTATGAGACTCAACTGAGCTGCAT